GGTTTTCTACAAACGACAATATGAAGACTTTAGAAATTCAGATTAAAATCACTTTTGACGTCACACCACCAGTAGTACCACCTAGCAGTTTAATGAGACATTTTATGTTAAAGGTGCGAGTAATTCAGTTGATTCATTTTAGGTCTGAAATTATTTATTGAAACATTAAAAATTTTTTATGAGATGCAGTAAAGTATTAAAAAGACATGTAACTCACGACTCTTATCGGAAGCTACAAGTAATTATGCGTAGATTCTAATATATGGCTTAAGTCATTACAGAGTTTGTAACAGACAGACCAAAGTTCTATGATTCGACAAGATGCTCAAATTAATAATGGTTTAATTCACGTGATTCAGAAAACTAAAACTTTTTTCATTGTCTACATAAAGGCTGAATAGTAAATATTATATAGCGAAAGCACCACCTGATTTTACTTTGTTTCTCTGGTAGAATTAGAAATGATTTTACAAGCTCTGTAGCTGCCTAAGTTTGTCCAATCATTTTTTCATATGCCTACGGTCATGGCGATTCCTTGATTTTTTTCAACTAAATAATTAGAAGTAGTTATGGAAATGCACGTGTCACAAACAGTGAATAGTTGCAACTAAATGACGAACTTGTGATCAGCAAAATACAGAAAATACAAATATATTATACAGTGTACCAGTGTTTTGTATTTGCTTTAAACAGAGCAGAAAACATTTTTTTATTCTATGATAAGTTTATCAATTTATGTTCCAATGTTCCGTATTATTTCCCACAATTCAGCCAATTTGATCTTATAAGTTTTCATATGAGTCCATACAGCCTTAATGATATTTATATCAGGACTTTGTGCAGGCCAAACCATTATTGTGGGTAATCCTTGGGCCTCATTATTTTTCTCCAGGTATCGTTCCACCACATCTGCTGTGTGCCTAAAATCAATTTCTTGCTGGAATACAAATTACGGTCCAACAGGTCTTGGTTCGGAGAGAATAACATAATGAATAATATATAATTAATACTTGATACTATTGGTACTTGGTGAAACTCCGTAGTTAAGGAATTGATGAAAACAAAGATAATTGTATATTTCACAATATTTCATTTATTACTATCATGGTTTCGCCCGTTCTTTTTACGGACAAAGCCATGGCAATAATAAATGAAATATCAGTGAAACGTTAATTGTCTTTATTTCCCTCAGGCCTGCTTTTACCAATAAGCAGTTAAGGTGCCATCACTTTTGTAAAGATCTTCAGCACCATTAGCTAAGATGTAACCCATATTTATATTGGTCCTTTAGCGTACTTCGCTGTAGATGTTGTACAATGACCATGCTTATCTCTGCCTTTCAAAAAAAATATCATTAATTGTTGCCACACAATTTGTATTAATTTCTAAATAGCACCTTCTTCAAGCTTTGTTTATATCACTGAATGTATTTCCTACCAATGATATCTTACAATTCTGGATCTACAGCTAATTCATTAACAAGATCTTCATCGTATTACGTAAAGGGTATACGCTAAAGGACCAATTTAAATATAGGTTACATTTTAGCTAATGGTGCTGGAGTTCTTTACAAAATTGATGCCACCTTAACTACTTATTGGTAAAAGCAGATTATTATCCATCATGAGACTGTAACATCTAAAGAACAAACCCTGAGGTATTTAACATCGCTTTTGAAGAGTTTGGGCCTTTTGTACTTCGAAATGCTTTTACTATTAACAGTTACAGAGTTTGCATGTAGTTCCTACTGAAATATGAAATCTCGCCTCAATTTGTAGCATGGAGTAGACTTTATCAATCAAACTAGCCTCTTTATTGTATGAAAATGAGCTGTATTTGAATACAGTCACGTTTTGATAGTTTACACTGTGATCAGCTGTTATCCAACCAATCAGATAGTGTTACAACAGCATAATGCCTATAAAAATGCTGACAGTCATATAATTTCCAACAGTAGTACGGTAAGGGCACTCGTGGATCCCAGGACTGAAATGCTATCTGCGTTAACTGTCCCTAATGTTGAAGTGATAAACTAGAGGAAAGGCAGCTAGTCAGCATCATTCACCAGCCAACTCTTGAGCTACTGACTCTTAACCAACGAAATAACAGGATTGGCATTCACATTATAAACCCCTCATGGCTGAAAGGGCGAGCACGTTCAATGATGGAATTCGAGCGCCTTAATCACCAGGTCTGTTTTATATGTGACATTTTTTCAATTTAAATAAAAAAAAATTATAAACCAATAAAAATATCTTTATAAATTCTTATTACAAATGCATTGTTTTTCTTAATATTTATAACAATAAGTAACACTTCACAAATAAAGTTAAGTTTTTAAACCATTTATTTACAACACAAAGTAGTAAAGTCTCACGTTGAAGAAATAACGATTTTCACTAGGTTTTGGTTTTATTATCTATACAACATAGTTTCAAAGCAACAGAATCGAAGAGGTCCCTTTAAAATAAAAGGAAACAAATCTCTACCACGCAAACAGGATATAACATTTTTACAGCAACTAAATAAAAGGAGAAACTACAGATTAAATCTTCATGAAACATTGCACACTGTTCACCGTTATAGTAAACTAATACTATTTCACTTTATCCTAACCTCAGGAAGAACTAAAAACCATCTTTGTTATCAACCAAAGATTAAAATTCTCGTGAATATTTTTTTTTTACATTAAGAGAAAGAAAAGGAGAGACAGAATATGTAAAATCCCATGAACATCTGTACACGAATACAAGGCTAATCAAAGAGGATGCACACATACTAATAACATATATATTATATATATATATATATAATGTATTTGAATTTAAGGGTTAGTTAGGCTCCATTTATTTTTACAGATTGGCTAAAAACCTACTTCTGTTCTAACCAGCCAGTACGTAAAACACAGATTGTTTTTAAAATGAATTATATAGTTACATATACACTAGAAACTCATGTAACTCACATAGATTATAACCAAGCAGATATTCTAACTTCATTCTGAGTTCGTTTCAGAACTAAAGAAAGTGAATGGGTTTGCCTGACAAAACCTAACTTAAACACGAGCGAGGGCAGCGTTTATATTCATTCGGATCTAGCTCAGTAACACCTTGAGAAAATACAACTCCAGCTGTAGTAATATATATGTGTAAACGCACTGTGCAAATATGTTAGTAGCAACGTGAGCACGGACATTCAGCGCCGCCGTATTTATATTTATTAATGTGTCAGTACGATAGCAATAAAATGGGTTAGTTTGACCCAACGTCTCCACTAAAAAAACCTCTAAAACATTGTCACAAGAGTTATTCTAAATATATAAGTTAGTTCTAAGTTTCAAAACTAAGCAAAAAAAGGTTAACCCTAGATTTACTGGTGAAGTACATATAGACCTCGTGGGTTTTAAAACACGTTTTAGAAACTTTATATATCTACCAAATTACTTGTGGGTCCGTGACTTTGCTGGTTAACGACATGTGACTCACACCAAAAACTTCAGCAAATATTCCGCTAATACTGCAATTAACCCCAGCAATCATTTATCAGTTATTTACACTGAATGTTGTAACAGGCAAAAACACAAAATTACTCGCTATCATGCAATATTTGGATCCCACCGGTAGTAACTGGTACATAAACAAGCTAGTACTTTGAAGGTTAACTCAATATTTGGATCCCACCGGTAGTAACTGGTACATAAACAAGCTGGTACTTTGAGGGTTAACTCGAATATTGAGGTATTGCAATATCCGTTCCACCAGATAGTTTCAACCTTTTCCAAAACAAGTCCAAACTATAAGCAGGAACAGAGAAGCACTGAGCTGATTACGACAGCGATAATTTGAGTGCATACTGTATTTCTTCAAAGGACTTTTTCTAACTAATCACTTAAAGTCCAGAGAAAATATGGTGATTGTAATAGATTTTCTTAACATAACCCTCACTGGGTGGTTGCGTGTTAACCACACCAATTATTTGAGTCAAAAAGTTAAGTATCGCGTGTAATCTCGGTAGCTGATATGGAAAAGGAGCTATCTGAAGAAAAATCGTATAGACCTTAACTGGATCTGATGACCTAAACTGGATCTGATGACCTTAACTAGATCTGATTTCTAGTTGATGCACTAAGGAACGGTAGAAAATAAACGCCTCGACTTTCTTGAAAGAGAAATATAGAGCTTGAAGACCTAAATCTGTCGTCTGTAAGATGCTGTGTGTATATTCTTAAACAAAAAGCTGCACAGTGCCACATTCTGTGTCCATCGCAGGGATCGAACTCCATTTTATGCCTTCAAGTTCATCATTGAATCACCAGATGGCTCATCTATCAGGCATGAAAACATACTTCTTGGACGTTTTTTCTTACGAACAAACTTGAATATTAACAGGAACTGCCTTGATCTTTATTACTAGTTTACAAGTAGAGCGCAGGACCACACTTATTTAACACACATTTAGAGAAAGAAGAATTGTTACACATGTAACAATGAACTTAGTTTCTGACTCCCAGTCGCGATCGTGAGTACAACCAGCAACAACTCTTTAGTTAGTTAGTTAGTTCGTAGTGACAAGAAAATTATTTGTGATGTATACAAATTAATCAAAATGTTAAAATGGTTTTAGATAAGCTAGAATTAAAACATTAATAGTATAAATTCTTCCTATTTTTTCTTAAGATGGCTGGTCACTGAATTAACATAAAAAAAGAAATCAGAGAATAGATTGTGTTACCCTAACAATCATGTATACTAGGAAGCCAAAAAGTGAAGATGTTACCTTAACAACCATGACTATTAGGAAGCCAATATTTTAAGATGTTACCCTAACAACTATGGCTTCTAAGAACTCATAGGCCTATAAGAATGGTTTAAAGATCTTAAGTATTTACAATCCTAAGTGTTAATATGTTCATTGGATATCATAATTTCTTTCGTTCAGCTTGTCGTATAAGGCAGAAAAACAAAAACAAAGATCCAGTAAACGATTCAATTAAACATCACAAAATGAAACAGTTAATCAACACTCAACGGGAGCTCCATCTTCTGTGGAGGAGAGGAACTAACTTTTTCCATGAATTATATTCCTTGAGCTGTAAACACAGGTTACAGGATATCATCTTCTTTATCATCTGGTAAACACTTCCTGGTTGTAACCGTTCCAAAACTCAGGAGAAATCACTAGTACGATGTTCTGAAGAAATGAACACTAGGCGTCATATCTTCGTAATCAAAATGAACCCGCTCGTGTCACTCCCAAAAAACATGATCTCCTTGAGTTTGTAGCATCACCACCGTAAAGACAGAGTTGAAATAGTTAATTATCTTCAAAGGTTTAACATTCTCAAGTCTGAAGGGAAGGTGATGGCATCACATTGAGGACACACTCGCTTTACTCCCTGTTAAAGAAAGTATTAAGTTACACACTGAGGACACACTCGCTTTTCTTCCTGTTTAAGAAAGTATTAAGTTACACACTGAGGACACACTCGCTTTTCTTCCTGTTTAAGAAAGTATTAAGTTACACACTGAGGACACACTCACTTTACTCCCTGTTAAATAGTGTGTAACTTAATACTTTATTTAACAGGGAGTAAAGTGAGTGTGTCCTCAGTGTGTAACTTAATACCTTCTTTAACAGGAAGAAAAGCGAGTGTGTCCTCAGTGTGTAACTTAATACTTTGAGGACACACTCACTTTACTCCCTGTTAAAGAAAGTATTAAGTTACACACTGAGGACACACTCGCTTTTCTTCCTGTTTAAGAAAGTATTAAGTTACACACTGAGGACACACTCGCTTTACTCCCTTTTAAAGAAAGTATTAAATCACAATACGTTGTGATTGACATGTCATACTATATATACAATTTATATAATGCACACAGAGAGTACACATTTCTCATCAGTTAAAAAAAGGTTCAAGACCAACTATTTATATATATTCACCTATAGATTTGTAACCAACTAATACGTAAGAAACAATCTGTTTTTGTCCAAATACAACTACAGAATATTCTTATTTAACCAATCAACGTTCTTCTGGTATGATGACTAAAAATACTACCCAAACCTGTATTATCAGCAACAAATAAGTTAACAGATAAGTCTGTGTTTAATAGAGTTGATCCTGATAACCAGTTGTACAAAAGAACAATAATGAAATGTCATGGCTAACTTACGAGCTGAACAGTCAGGTCAGAGACCCATAGGTTTAGCCGTCTCTAATTGTGAACTACTGAGTTGACCAGAAAGAAAGCAGCCAGTCAGTAGCACTCGTGGTCAAGAGGACTTTGTACAGCTTTGAACTGCCACTCTTTATAACACACTCAGCGGTGAAAGTACGGAACGGGTTTAGTAAAATCATGGCACGAACCCAAGACCTGCCCACTAGGCCACACCCAGCAGATCTGAGATTTGTTAGTTAACTTTAAAAGGAAAATATCTCCATGGGAAAGCCTTACGTATACTGATCCAAGTTATTTACGTCCACTGACCTAAAACTCTTTATGTCCACTGATCCAAATTTTCGTGTACTTTGAGTTAAACTACTTATGTCTACTGCCCTAAGTTATTTATGTCCACTGATCCAAGTTATTTACGTCCACTGACCTAAAACTCTTTATGTCCACTGATCCAAATTTTCGTGTACTTTGAGTTAAACTACTTATGTCTACTGCCCTAAGTTATTTATGTCCACTGATCCAAGTTCTTCACGTACTTTGACTAAAATTATTTATGCCTACTGCCCTAAGCTCTTTACGTCCTTGTGTTTTACCTATTTATCGTCAATACGTGTAATAAATATAAGATATATGTTATATTGGAGCGTTAATCGGTCCACTTACCAAAGCTTGTAACCAACAGCGCTCACAGAGGACATGCCAACAGCACACAGATACTACAGGCTTTTCATACAAACCCTGGAGAAGACAAACAGGTGTATTAGATTTCTTTAAATCTCTACACGAAACATCTGGCAGAAAAGAAAAGTATAAGAATTAGATGATATTTTAAAAGTTGTTAAATGGTTGTATAAAAAATAAAAGATCTTATTTGTATTTGTGGTATAATAGATCAGTAAAATTATTTCTTAACATTCAAAACCAATGATAAAGGAGAAAATGTTATGAAAATTATGTACTCAAACAAGATCGCGATGGTCGTTGTTGTACCTTTTTATTTTTAATTTTGACACTTTTTAAACATTAATAGGAGACAAAAATTTTGTTTGTTTAATATTAGTTCACCTAGAAAGGCCAGTAAGATACTCAGTAGTATCAGCATTGACAACAAGAACTTCAATTTATGAAGATGAGAATTCATTATTTAGCAAGTTGGCTATCCTCGCTTATAGCGGTATTTTAAACTAGGATAGTTAACGGCGAATCCAGGGTTCGATTCTCCGAGGTGGACACAGCAGATAACCCAATGTGGCTTTGCTCTAAAATAACCAAACACATTTTACTGTAACCCAAACAATATATCACGAGTTTTGGCCTCCTTACAAATTTGGGATAGTCATTAATATATATATACCAAGATAGCAACGCCAAATAATCTGGATAATCGCTCATTCTTTTGAAATGGAAAAAGAAATAATTATTTCTATCTATTTGGTTCTGTATTAAATATATATTATGTGATTTAAAATGTTCACTTCTCACTGATTATCTATACTATCAGCAGCAGTCCCTCGATGGTCCAGCAGTATGTTTATGTACTTACAACGCTAACATCCGGGGTTAGATTCCCCGTAGTGGATACAGTAGATGGCCCATTGTGGCTAAGCTCTAAAACAAAGAACGACGGTGAAGAATACTGAAGTATGAAATAAGATCATCGATACTACACTGAATAAATACAAATATAATTCGTGATCACTGTGTCAAACCTTGTAGAAAATAAAAGACGTGTAGTCGATTATAAGTTACCTTCTGAATCTGAACTGTAATGTTATTGGACTATGGACTTTGACGTGTTTCCGGTCTGTAGTAACACGTGTAAACGAAAATAAAATGAAAATATTTAAAAACAAATATGCTTATTGACCTTCTAGCTTTTATATAGAGTTGATGAAAGCCTGTGAATCATATAAAACATGAGCTTACTAATTTCGTAGACCATTATTACATTGACGTTTCCACATAGACAAACAAATACTGCTTCATATTTCCGTATAGTAGAAAGTATTAGCTAAGAAGAAACTGTTACATTAAAGTACGACAGATTTATTAATCAAATAAGACAACAGATTCCTCAGAAATGTACTCAGGTAAACGTTATTTAAAAATCAAATCAGTAACTCGCCCCAAGGAAAGACTGATTACTAATCTTAGATATTACGTGGTAAAAGCTACACATCTTTGTGTAATAAAAATATGAAGAAAGAGTCATAACTGTATTGATGAAGTTAAACAAAATAATTTGTTCAAAACATTCGAATTGTGTAATCTGACTCCATCAGCTGTTTAATATAACATAAGAGCCCACATAATGCTATATTTTTGACCACAGTTGAAGCACTGAAATAACCAGCTAAGAACGTAAAGAACAGAAAAAATACGATAAATTGGGACACTGAAATAACCAGCTAAAAAAGTAATGTACAGAGAAACAGTTGATAAAACGGAATACTAAAACAATCAGCTAAGAAGGTAAGGCACAGAGAAATAGCTGATAGATTGGAAAACTGAAACAACCAGCTAAGAAGGTAAGGCACAGAGAAAAGCTGATAAAACGGAATACTAAAACAATCAGCTAAGAAGGTAAGGTACATGAGAAACAGCTGATAAATTGGAACACTGAAATAACCAGCTAAGAAGGCAATGTACGGAGAAACAGCTGATAAACTGGAACACTGAAACAACCAGCTAAGAAGGTAAGGCACAGAGAAACAGCTGATAAACTGGAACACTGACATAACCAGCTAAGAATGTACGGAGCATTTTTCAGGTTCTTCAACAAAATATGATCACTCGCCATTTGATGTGCAAGCCAGAAACATGAGTATCTGAATTTCTGACTGCCAAGGTAAGCGCGCGCACAAATTGTCTGATTTCGTTTCTCAACCAAACAAAGACATTAAGGATGACGTATCAAGTTATGAGCTTATATATCAGTTGTTATAAAGAAAACGCCTCGAAGGATGCTAGCAGTAAAGGTTTTGTAATAATAATCTAAGCTTTCAAAATATAAGATACTTCTGGTAAGAAGAATCAAATATTGAAATAATGTCGGGTAAGTTTGAGAAAATCGTGAGGCGTGGATAATGATAAAAGCTTAAGAAACAGAACGTTAAACATTATCGCAAGGGTGTTATATTCGCCGATCTGTATAGCTGGAAGGAAACGTTGTCCCTTTCTGCTGTTTCTTTTTTTTTTGTCAAGCCCATTCGAGCAGTAATTTTTGAAATATATAAAACAGGTTGAATACATTCAACGCAATAACTCCCTTCCCGACACCTAAACTTCGGGAACATTCCTCACGCCTGGTTCAAAAAAAAAAAAGAGAGCTTCCGTGTTACTCTGTATGACACCGATCTATTACAAGTGTTCCGGTGAAAAGCTCACGTTACTTGCTACAAGTTGGCTCTGACATCTTGTTCCGGTGAAAAGCTCAAGTTACTTGTGATATGTTTGCTGTCTCGTCTTGTTCCGGTGAAAAGCTCACGTTACTCGCTACAAGGTTCTCAAGAAATGTGTTATACTCACGCATCCTGGTCTGGTGAAAAGCTCACGTTACTTGCTACAAGTTGGCTCTGACATCTTGAAACAAGAAAGTTGTAGCAATAAACGTGAGCTTTTCACCGGAACAAGATGACAGAGCCAACTTGTAGCAAGTAACGTGAGCTTTTCACCAAAATACGGCAAGACAAGAAAGTTGTAACGCGGGGTTTTCGCCACCGGAACAAGATGAAACAAGAAAGTTGTAGCAAGAAACGTGAGCTTTTCACCGGAACAAGATGACAGAGCCAACTTGTAGCAAGTAACTTGAGCTTTTCACCAAAATACGGCAAGACAAGAAAGTTGTAACGCGGGGTTTTCGCCACCGGAACAAGATGAAACAAAAAAGTTGTAACGCGGGGTTTTCGCCACCGGAACAAGACGAGACAACAAACTTTTACCAAGAAACGCAAGTTTTTAATCGGAACAAAACAAGACAACAAACCTTGTGAGTTTTCCACCAGAACAAGACGAAGCATCAAGTTTCTAGCAAGTAAAGTGAGATTTTCGTCCGAAAAACGACATGGCAAACCTTGTGAGTTTTTCATCAAAACAAGATGAGAAATAAAGGCCTAGCGTTCTAACAAAATAATGCTGAACTGAAACGGAAACCTACATGCATTGCCAAAAACCGTTTTGTACAAGATGTATCAAAAGGATTCTTCATTAATTTCCTGGAAGAGTCATTTATGGTCAGTTAATTGGAGTTTTATAACCAACTACTAACAACATAAACCTCTCTCTAAATGTTCAGGACAGTTTATCTGATTTTCTAAGCCACGATCGGATATTTCAGCTAATCTAGACAGTATCTAAAGTTAAACAGATTCGAATATATTTATTTATTAAGCATTTCTTAAAACAATACTTTACCATAAATAACCTAAACAGTTAAGATAACATATGCTAAGAGGCTCGTGTATTATTACTATGTATTAGGCTTCATAGCCATGCTTTTTGAATTTAATTCGTAGTGTTGGCAAAAAAATAAGAAAATATAATCTAAAATCCCCCCAAAAACAAATATTAAACTATTTATTTTCTAGGTTTAAAACAAAATTCTTCAGTTTGTTTAGTTAAGGTTTTAAACTTGTATCATTAAAATACGTTTCGTTCTTAAGTGAAGCAATCCAGATACCAACAAGTATTTCAAGGTGTTTGAATGTAATACAGTTTGCTAGATATCTTTCAACTTCTATCAGGCTGCCCTACCTGACAAAGTTGACACTTGAGTGTCGGTGACTTCTGTTGTCGTGTCTGGAGTTCTTTGAGTCGGTCTTGAAGCAAACCAATCAATTTGTTTGGATCCGCATTTTCGTCTACCTGGATCAGCCTAAGCAGAATAATTCACCGTCAGAAAGTTGTATAAAACTATTTAAATATCATCATGATGAATAAAACGCTCTACTCTTCCTCACTTTGGAGGAAATAATTACTTATTTGTTGAACTGTCTTAATAATTAATTATTGTTGAACCGTCTTAATAATTAATTAATGTTGAACCGTCTTAATAATTAGTTATTTGTTGAACCGTCTTAATAATTATTTATTGTTGAACCGTCTTAATAATTAGTTATTTGTTGAACCGTCTTAATAATTAGTTATTTGTTGAACCGTCTTAATAATTAATTATTGTTGAACCGTCTTAATAATTAGTTATTTGTTGAACTGTCTTAATAATTAGTTATTTGTTGAACTATCTTAATAATTAATTATTGTCGAACCGTCTTAATAATTAATCATTGTTGAACCGTCTTAATAATTAATTATTGTTGAACTGTCTTAATAATTAATCATTGTTGAACCGTCTTAATAATTAGTTATTTGTTGAACCGTCTTAATAATTAATTATTGTTGAACCGTCTTAATAATTAGTTATTTGTTGAACCGTCTTAATAATTAATTATTGTTGAACCGTCTTAATAATTAGTTATTTGTTGAACTGTCTTAATAATTAGTTATTTGTTGAACCGTCTTAATAATTAATTATTGTTGAACCGTCTTAATAATTAGTTATTTGTTGAACTGTCTTAATAATTAGTTATTTGTTGAACTATCTTAATAATTAGTTATTTGTTCAACTGTCTTAGTAATTATTTAAAGGCATGGAACTATTTCCTATTGTCCTAAGAAACAAAGTTTCCCATGATCAAACACATGATCAGATTTAATGTAGGCAGGACAAAAACTGTGACACGATGTTGGACGTTACGTGAGCTTCAACATGATCAAATTTAATGTAGGCATGACAAAGACTGGATACGATGTTGGACGTTACGTGAGTTTCACATGATCAAATTTAATGTAGGCATGACAAAGACTAGGATAAGATGTTGGACGTTACGTGAGTTTCACATGATCAAATTTAGTGTAGGCATGACAAAGACTAGGATAAGATGTTGGACGTTACGTGAGTTTCACATGATCAGATTTAAAGTAGGCAGGACAAAGACTAGAATAAGATGTAACTTTCACGATCAACAGAACTAAATTTAAGATATCGTGACGTGAAATAGAAAAATGTGTTCCACTTGCGTGAAAGATAAGAAGAACGACCTACGAATCAGAAGTTTATTAGTTATAGTTCGAAATAGGAAAAGAATTCTAATTTTGACGCCTGTGAGTAAATTAAACTGGACAGAAAAAAAAACTGGGTAAAAAAACTATAAAAAACAGACACACACACACAAAAAACGTTTTATAGCTTCATATGATAGAAACAGAACATGTCTTAACGAACGGTGTTTTATAGTTTTGTTTTTACTCATAAATGATAAGCACATTTCGCTGTTTTTGTTTCTAATTGGACAGCTGTCTTGAAGTAGAATGTCAAAACCTATAATGTTATGGTCTCATAAGGCCTGGTTGTCCGTTACCTGTATCACGTGATGACTGATGATCTCTCTTAGTTGAGAGGTAGAAGAAGAAAAAAAAACTGAAAAGATACGTCTCACTGGCTCATCAAAAAATATTGATTGTAATATCATGAATGATTAATGAGTTTTTAAACTGTGTAAGATAAAATAGTATATGATGTATAGATTTGCAGAAAGACATTCTTAACACATTAATTTCAGATTTCCACTTATAGGTGTGGAACTAAATAACTTAGTCGTCTTGAATACATGGAAAAAATTAACCTCACGAAGAAAAATATAAAAAGGTTTAGTTTGTTCGTTACAAAGATAAATCTAAGACATAAAGTAAACATACATTATATATGTATATTGTATGTAGAACACAAAATTACCAGCTAATATATTTATATGATATTAAAATCAAGAATTTTATAAGTTCAATGCTGTAATATCTAAGTCTGCTTATAGTAACGAACACTTAGATAATTTTATGGTTAAACGTTTCGCAAACTTACCCGGTATCTGGAATAATACTCTCTGCTTCTGGAATGGTTTGTTTAACTGCAGTGATCTCACTACAATGTGGTTAAGGGCCGAACCACAAATAAGTATTTTATAAAAAACCGTTTACTTTATGGTAAATACCCAAAACACTCCAACCCTAGCTTTGATTATACTTGGTTCAATACGTTACTCAATGAAAACCAAAACCACTAGCTAATAAGTTAAAACAAAAGTATCAAGAACATTAGCTAATAAGTTAAAACAAAAGTATTAAGAACACTAGCTAATCAGTTAAAACAGAAGTATCAAGAACACTATCTAATAAGTTAAAACAAAAGTATTAAGAACACTAGCTAATCAGTTAAAACAGAAGTATCAAGAACACTATCTAATAAGTTAAAACAAAAGTATTAAGAACACTAGCTAATAAGTTAAAACAAAAGTATCAAGAACACTATCTAATAAGTTAAAACAAAAGTACCAAAAACACTAGCTAATAAGTTAAAACAAAAGTACCAAAACACTAACTAACAAGTTAAAACAAAAGTATCAAGAACACTAGCTAATAAGTTAAAACAAAAGTACCAAAACACTAACTAACAAGTTAAAACAAAAGTACCAAAACACTAGCTAATAAGTTAAAACAAAAGTACCAAAATACTAGCTAATAAGTTAAAACAAAAGTATCAAAACACAAGCTAATGAGTTAAAATAAAAGTACCAGAAACACTAGATAATAAGTTAAAACTAAAGTATCAAAAGGACTAGCTAATATGAAAAACAAAAATAATCAACCGCACAAAATGTCCCACAAAACATTCCGAAGGATACAGAAAATGACTCTCTTCTGCCATTGGTCTTTCTATCGTATGTTCTTCGGCTTCAATGTCTATACGTTTGAAAAACATGCAATACATTGGAATTAAAGATTCTTGTGATCACGTAAAATATTATATGCAAAAAATAATACCACTTAAACGTTACAAACCTACTAGTGGCATTCTTAGCAAACAGCATGCTAATCAGATTATACAGTCCACTAATAGTTTATGTAATAGCGGGGGACTTCTTCCCTCCAATTGTTTATTTTATTGAGGTTCATATCAGGTGCCATACTGATATTGTAACGGATTAAAACAGCTGAAATGACGAATAACGCTTTTTCTCAATATAGTGTTAATTTGGAAAAACAATTTCTAAACATTTAAATAACCATATTTATTTGTTCAAACATTTATTGTCAACACACGCAACAAAAGTATTCCATTTAACAAATTTACAAAATCAATCACCATAAATAATAGCGTGTGTGTGTGTGTCGTATTACTGTACTCACAGAAAAACAGAACAGTTTATTAACACAAAGAAGTTATAACAGGCTTTGTAAGCAGCGTTATCTGGATTTCGGAGCTGGTGAGCCAGGTTCGAACTCATACAATAAAATATTTCTCGTACTTTAATTTATGGGTGCAAAATAAGAGTGACAGTCAGTCCCTTAGTTGTAAGCAGGGGTAAAAAATAACTCTTGTTTATCATGGGCGACCATTTTTCAAAATAAATGAAACGTCAATTGAACCTTATTCAGTAATACACAGTTATTGGTCCAAAACAGAAACAAAACAAGAGTGGGTATGATATTACACGCATGGAATTGAAAGTCAGAGGTATAGGTATACAAGGACAATAATCTTATACAACAGGAAAAAAAAATTATATATGAAATATAAAATTGCATTTTCAAATCATCTTTTTTAAACTGTAACAGTCGTAAATCGCCTCCAGTTTGTTTGAAATGAATTTAATCATAATGCTTTTTTGTGTTGCGGTAAACGTCGTATATCCATTATTGTTTGATGCTGAACATTAACAGGTGAACAAACGTAAGAAAAGAGTTAAAGCTAACGATACGCGAACATAAACCAAAAAATATATTTATGGAGATAAGTAAATACGATGATTGATAGAGAGAAGAAAATATACACGTATTGCACGACAGACGGTTAAATAGTTCGATATAATGTTGTACAGTGGACGGACGCATAAACAGGGCTAGAAACCGAAACTTTTGTAACCGCGCTAACTTATTTTATTTATTTAATTTTGTCAATATGACTCAGTTAAGTGATTGATTACAGTATTAAATAACTTCGTATCTAGAGTTAGAAACATTAAGCACGGAAAACTGCCTTTAATTCAACGTCAATAAACCACGGCCAACTGATATCTCCCCGGAGTTGGAACCAGGACATAGCGGGAATGACGGACTCGAAATAGACGCACTTTGCCATGGTTGTTCTTACGTACAATATCTGGGACAGCTTTCGCCCTGTTGGCTTATTATAAATTACCGAACGGCGAGGAATCTTGTAGGCCGATTCAGTTGTGCGCTGTTGTGGGTTGTCAGAACATCGGGAGGTTTATTGCTGGTTCGGTGATTTGCTCTTCTCTGCAGTTGCTTCAAGAATGTCTGGATTTTTAATATATCCGAGGATGAAAAGTATTGTCATAGGAACTTTTTAAAGAAGGAATTTTTGATGGGAGAGTTCAAAATTACTTGTTGGAATAGACTGATACGTCAAGCTGAAAACCAAACTTCTAAAAACGGGCGTACTGTGGGTTCTTGGTAACCTAGGTTACGGGGGGGGGCAGTATTTCGTTAGTATACCTTTAAGTAAAGTAATAAAGTGCCTAATAGCATTGTTCGGTTAAACAAGCAACAAGATTGAAATACATTGCAGAGAACGCATTGTCGTCCTTCTGCACCAATACACTTAACAGAATTTTCAGTTCAAAAATATTAACCAGATCAGGAATTCCAGAAACGTTTAAGAAAGAGTCGGCGAAGGAAAGAAAATTCATCTTTAAAGTCATAGATTAGAAACTGCTTTTGTTCGCAAGTAAAAGCAGGAAGTAAAATTCAAATAACAGTGAAAATCAAGAGCCCCCCCCCCTCCCCAAAAAGAAGAGAGCAAAACTGCAAATATTGTGTGCATATTTGTTTACTTTGAAACTTCGTCCAAAGCTGCACGAGGGCTATCTGTGTGCAGCTGTACCTAATTTTGAAGTGATAGACAAGAGGCAAGGTAGTTAGTTAGCTAATGAACGGCATACACCACAGATTATTGTGCTGCTCTTGTCTGATCACAGGATTGGACCATAAATTTGAAAGCGGTATCCCAAAGTGCAGAGCAAATTTTTGCGGCAAGAGGCGCGAAACATGAATTTTCGAATTTACAGTCCGGCGCGCTAATCATGAGGCCACGAATGGTGTATCTAAATAAATACGTTTTGTAACAGTAGCCCATAGTATGAGAGAAGTTGATAGAGTTGATTTTCAGCTATAGAGTCAATAATTTGTTCTCGTGTTCGATTTATTAATTGTCTGTTTTAAACTCAATAACTCAGTGTTACATTTAAATAGTTATCGTCGTTATATCAAACATAAAACTAACGTATAAAACTATATAACAAAACAATTAATCAATGGTAGTTTTATAACAGCATAGTCCGTGTGCTATGTTGGTTTTATATCCAACCGGTTAGTCAGTACATTATATTTGTTTTAAATTTAACCAGCTAGAAAAATATGACGATTCTTATGTTCACGTAGTCAATATATTATTTCCGTTTTATATGTAGCTATAGCTTGTTGTTAAGTACGAAGCTACACAATGGACTTTTTTATTGTGTTCTAACCACCGCGGGTATCGAAACCCGATTTGTTAGAAACATAAGCCCTAAGACTTGCCGCTGAGCCACCGAGGGGAACAACTATATTATATCATTTTATATACAGATAGCCAGGAACTTATGACTGTTCTTATGTCAGTACTTTTATCTCGGTTAAATTCAACGAGCAAAAAACTCATGTCAAGTCTTATGTTTAGCCAATATATTACGTCGATTTTATACTGAAATAGCTAATATATTATGTCGGTTTTATACTCAAATAACCAGTATATTATGTCGGTTTTATACTCAAATAGCCAATATATTATGCCGGTTTTATATTCAAATAGCCAATATATTATGTCGGTTTTATACTCAGAGAGTCAGTTTATACCCAGTTTCTTAGTAATTTATTACAAATTTTATACTC